TCATCTCCCCAGCCCACCCCACCGTTTGCATTTAGCTGCCCTTCCCACATTGTCTGTATTAATAAATGATACCACTCAAATCTTGGGATTCAGCAAGTCTCCTAAGTCTTCATCTTATAAATATCCTGATTATTTAGCTCCACTTTTTCCATGTCTTAGTTCACTGATCCTTCCTGGATTTCTGCAGTGAGTTTTCAAGCTTCATCTTATAAATGTCCTGACTATTTATCTCTACTTTTTCCATCCCTGTCTTAGTTCACTGATCCTTCCTGGATTTCTGCAGTGAGTTTTCATCTCCTCTCTTGGCCTCACGTCTTCTATCTACTTCAACTCATTTCCTATATCAGAAGCATCTTCAAAAAGTAAAATACCTTTATGTGTGCATCCTACCATTATCTTTTAATGGGTCCCTAGAGCCTCTGGAACAAACTTTAAATTATCAGCAAATGAAAAATATGGTCTTTATATTTGATAACTAAATATGATTTTATTGATAAAATCTTAACATTTCCTCACTTGTAAACTCAACTCCAGCCATTTAAAGCAAATTTTTGGCATTTTGTTTCTCCCTGAGTCATTCTATCCTATATTTTTCTGCTTGAAGCATCTATTCAGACATTAAATCATCATTTTTACTGATTAATTGCTATAAACTATCCCAGAATTCAACATTCTTAATATGCCCTCTTTCAAAGCACTTACAATTCTATATTGATTTTATAGTCATTCTCCCCACACTGGTTGACAGAACAGTGAATGCTTTGAGGTATCTCACTCTGTGATGTTTCCGTAGTGAATAAAAACCAATTATTGCTATGACAACATAAAATTCACCTACTGCTTGGAAATTAACTGGGAGTCAACTATTAACTAGCCATTGTATCTAGAGCAAACTCACGTGTGGAGAGAGGCTCTAATCTTGTTAACACAAATTTTATTAGCAGGATCCGGGAAGACATTTAATATGTAACTTACAGAGTGATTTGAAAAATCAAGTAATGAATGGGAAAGTCAAGTCACAAATGAACCTATGGGAGTACATGGTACTAGATACTCAACTGGCTGCTCAGAAAAAAAAAAATCTGGGAAAAAGATGGGATTATACTTACTAGAAGTAGAGTAGCAACCTGCAGTAGAATTAAGAACAGTGAACATCCTGGTAAGAAGTTTCATGAGACTAGGGAGTGTCACCTTGTTCACTGCTCTGTCCCTAATGTCCAACATCTGGCCGAATCATAGTAGCTGCTAAATAAGTGTGTTGAGCTGAATTTTAAACTGTGCAGCTGGTGATACAAGAAACATCTGGGTTTTTAAAAAAATTTTAAGCAGCATTTTCCTCCATTCACCATTCCATAAAAAAGGTAATTTCTGCATGTGTTTACTAGAATTCTTTCCTCAAAAGTGAAATATTGCTTCACTCTTTGGTTGGCAAGCGTGTTGTTTCAAGATGGAGAAGAATTTTATTTAAATGAAGAAAAATCTATTTTAGTCCATAATCTTCAGAGCCAATTTTGGATCTTAAAACGTACTGTTCATCAAAGAATCTTAACAAAAACATTTCTGCCAATGTAACCAAGACATCCAAAAATATTTCATACCAAAGCCAAGCTTTCTGCTCAAGAAGAGCATTCTAAGCGATGTCTCATTCTTCCAAAGGTGTTCCACTGAGCCAAACGTTACCTGAGCCACATGGCCCAGAGACCATCATCAATCTGATGTAAGAACACGTGATACATGCAAGAAAGGGATTTGGAACTTCTTAACATTTATGCTAGATTCACTAATTTACCTGAAACTTCTTTGTAACCAGAGAAATCTTATCATAAAACAAACTATTGAGCAGGAATTCAACTGACACAGATTTCTCACATTTTACTTCTTAAAAACATTTTTAGGGGTTTTATTTTGGGGCCATATCCAGCATGCTCAAAACTTACTACTGACTGTGCACAAGGATTACCTGGACGAGCCCAGGTCAGCTGCATGCAAGGCTAGGGGCTTACCTGCTGTGTTCTATCTCCAGCCCTCTTCCTTTCATTTTAAACAGAAGGAACCCGAGAACCTGATACTTCGGATTGTAAATTACCCTCCGAAATAAAGCCGGGTAGAGAGAGACTATTGAATGCGAGTTTGATACCAAGTTTTCAGTATTAGGTTATGTTTATAGAATACCAACACTTTCACGTGTATACATTTATTAAATCTGGTAGTTACTGGAGATAGGTAAAAAAGACCTATTCCTCCCTTATAATAGCTGGGAAAATTGAGTTCCTACTGACCATGACTACCCTCATGATGACTAAGCAGAAATAGTTCTTAAGACTAGATTCCATTCATGGTCTTTCCACCACTATTATTTACTGGGAGTACCACAATGACTCAAGTTTCTTTCCTCTTAATACAGAAGACAACTTACACAGGCTAGGGCCTACCATTCTTCAAAAAAAGAGGCTTGTTACAATAAAAGGAAGTTACTATTTCCAGAGTGCGAAACACAAAATACAATGAGGCAGAAACATGTGTGAATCAACTTTTAGGTTTTGCTTAAGCAGTCAACAATTCTTTCGGAACTAAATCTAGTCAAATGACCCTGACCCCAAATATGTCCTGCATTTTCTATTTTATTTAGACAACAGTGAATTTCCCAACTCTTGACTCACTCAGTAATCATACTTTAAAAAATATTAACATATATCACAGAATTTTTCTGTGAGGGATTATTGAAAGCCACCAAGATTGCCAGTCAAAATGTGTTAATTATTCAACACGTAAAAATAGGTCTGGACATCACGTCCACATGTGTTAGCATTCAGATAAGAAAGGAATTATGTATGGACTTAACACTTGGTTTTAAGCACTAATGCTGCAACACTGTCCTATTTACCACCTGACATTTGTTTTTGCACTTCAGCATCCCATGATTTTTCTGCAACAGTAAATAGCTTTAAGAAATAACACCTTGCCTTAGCTAGGTTTATATTTTGACTAGCAGATCCTGGCATTGCATCCACCTCAGGGTATCTTCCCAAAATGTTACATGAAGATAAGAGATGAAAAGAAAAAAAACAGGAAGGAAAGAAAAAGGAAATCCTACTACTCAAAATAGTCTGAAGATATGATACATTATGAGTTCTTAATAACAACCTGTAGAAACTTCCAGTCATTTTGTTATTGTCTCCTTGCAATCTAATTATTTATAAATTTCTCCATAAAATCCTATTTGTATGATACTCTAAAGAGAAAAGCAGTAATATTTGGAATATAAAAGAGCAAAAGTGAATGAAAATGCAGAACAAAGACATCCACAGCAATTACATGCAGGACACACAAAACAGTACCCAAATTCTACACAATTTTGTCTTTATAGCATAATTTTGATTCATGCACATAGGACTTTGGATATACTCCCATTAGAGGTATTAAGATATTTCTCTTGGTAAAATTTATAATATAAATTCATAAAGATCAAAACAGCCACACAAAATGAATATTTGCCAAGCTAAGAAATGGAGCAGTTTTCCAAGAAAGAAAAATGTCACATGTTAAATGTTACCCGACAGGATAGTTTTATAATGTTTGAGAAATTTGTGATCTTTATATTGTATATATAATCTTGTTCTTAATTATTAGAATATGAGAAAATACATATAACAAAGCTATCCCTTAAGAGCTGAATAATTCCCTAAAGAAGCCCTAACATGTCTATTACTTGGGGATACCTCAGGATTATCACCCTTTGCTGAGCAGTGGTTAGAGACTAAGCTGATTCCTATTTGAATTCTGGGAATATGAAAACTTGAGTACTATTGAAAGAAAACCACTGACACACACTGTATCTATTTAATCAATCAATAAGTAACCTATCTTTCAATTCCTGATGGCCAGTCTCCAAGTGGTTTATTTTACTTTTTGTTTATTTTTAACAAAACCTTATACACGATTCCCTCCTTCATAGGGCCTCCCATTTTTAGGCAAAATCACGACACAACACAATCTTATGGAACGTACTCTGCTATCAGGATTTAGAGTAACACCGAAACCTTACATTCCAAGATTAGGGATTTTTCCAAAGGGGTGAACTCCAAAATCAGAGTAGAAAATCACTGGAGATAGCCCAGGAAAGTGGGGGTAACAGGGATGCAAGTCCTTGTCTTGCGTGACTGCAGTGCTCCAACATGGACAGCAGGGGGCGCTCCCGCACGACGCAAACCCCCCACAAGTGATTCCCAGTCAGGAACACCCAGTTGTTTCACTTTACATTTGCCCCAAATCCATGAAGGTAGCTACCCAAATTGTGCTGTTGTCTGTATACTGTACATGCTTTGGAATGCAGTAAATAACACTGCAGAAATAACTGGAGTTGGCGAGTGGAATGAGCTTATCGTCTACAAAGATGGTGGGCAATTTTTATTTTACTTATTTGGGTAGGCAGATAGGATTAAGGGAGGCTGGGATCAACTGAGTATGTGTGGAGAAAAAACCTTGCCATCAGCTGTCAAAAAACAGTTCCGCAAGCAACAAGTGGGAATCAGTGTCAGGTCACGTATTCAGCCTCTTTGATAGCTGTCTGGGTTATATTCTTTGGAAATGAAGAAACCCACCACTCCTCTCCCGCCCCCCCAGATCCCACCCCCACCGAATTTAGGAAATGACACGATGATTTCTGTTTCTTCTTGAACTTTGGCAAAGGGGGGGGGTGACTTCCAGTATACGGCTCCATTTTGCATATGAAATGCATTTTACTCACTCTATGCCAAGTCTAAAGTATCAGAATAAGATTAGAAAAATCATTACCAGCCAGAAAGAGTCAGTGCTGAAACTTCAAACATCATGAGCTTCCAAAGCAAAATTCCTGGTCTTTGCTCTGCCTACACACACACACACACACACACACACACACACACACCATTACCACCACCACCACACTCAGGCTAGCTTATTTTTCCTCCTCTCCCCAGAGGAAGGTCTGCAGAGACACGGCCATAAACTTCAATACTCACCATATTCACTTCGGAAACCATATCAATGCTGGCGATGTCAATGTTCATTCCCACAGCCACAGGGGGACCTGCAAACCAAGATGGCTGGTCACATGATTTCTCAGAACTTCACTTGGAGCAAAAGTTGTCCCAATGCTTGGGGCACCCTTACCCAATCCATCCCCACTGTTCATCCTCAAACTCTTCAATCCCCTGGTCATTTTTAAAGAGTGGCAGGTGTTTCTCCAGGAAATGCTCTATTGAACATGCACACACGTGTTCGGCTAGGGGAGGGATTCCATTTCTATTGGTATGAGTAAGTGTATCAGCATGAGAACACACACAACTCAGGAAAGCATAGTATCCTCTGAACTCAAGTGGATTCTGTAGACTGTCCCGAAACCCCTCCCTCTTCATTCTTTCTCACTGTCCTTCAGTGAGCCGGTTTTAAGAGAGGTTTCTAAGAGTCTGAACCAAAATCAAATGGACATATCAGCACCTCTAAAATGTAGCAATAAATAGATGTCCCGGGTCATTTTTTTTCTGCCCTGCTCTCATGCCCTACAATGCGGCACCCTCCTGCCCTTTTCCAGCTCTCTCCTACAGTACTGCCCCCATCCCATGGTCTGAAGCTTCCCGGACTGGATCCGGGCCACTTTAAACCAGAACCAGAACTCTGTAAAAGTAGGCAGGCTTAGAGGGTTAATTCCACTACTCAGCCAATTGTCTGCACATCTTGTGCCCAGAAATGTCCAGGATGACCTCTCTCAACACATCACACAACTGAACTTAGGAGGTTTGTATTTCAAGGAGCAAAGATGGAGAAGCAGAGGATTTATAACAGTGAAGTGCAAGGACAGCAGTCACCAATACATGCTTAGAGCACTCCACTGAAAGACCCCCCCCCCCCCCCAAGTGCTGGATAGTAACAAACCTACTCAACTTTGGATCAGTTCCTCGACACGGTAACAATGAGACACAAATCCGTTCACCACATGTCCCCACAAAAGAGAGAGGGAAGGGAAGACGGTGCACATAAAGCTGGAGAGACTGCTTAGGCAATAGCTGCTTATTTCCAAGGCAACCCCATTACCTCCAAAATCTGGTCTCAGACGAATATCATAGCCTTTCAGGAGTCTATCCACCGTCTCTTTAACCAGCGACATATTACTAGGGTCATTGGCACTAAAGAAAGGAAAGACAATAACAGGCATCAGTAAGGCAGCAGGCGCGGCGTTTTAGGCTTCTATCTAATCCATACTACAGATCCCTGCTCACAGAGGTATGCAGGCAGAGCCCTTCAAAGTGGGAAAGGGAGAAGAAAAACGCGGGGCACACTTACCTCTGCGCACAGACAGCGGCGATTATTAAGGGGAATGACCAAATCCCAAAGTAGCCCCTTTCCCGGACTCTCCACATCCCTTTAGTTTTTGCCGGGATTGAGGTTTCGCCGAAGAGAGGAGATCCAACTTAGTCTGCCCAGTGCGGTAATTCTAATGGGAGGCGCATGCGCACGGCGTACCAAAACATCAAAGGGGCAGCGGCGGCTGCCAGGGACCCAGCAGATTTTCTTGTTAAGAAAGAAAAAAAAAATTAAAGGGGAAAAAGGGAAAATATATATATGAGCTATGCATGTATATATATATTCCAATAACACAGAAAGGTCACCCACACAGGAGCATCTAGAGTAAAACCTTTGTTGTCTTGTCTTTAAGAGAAAAACAAGAGCGGCTGGTAAGTTTTGGTAGTTGCAGGAGGCAGTTTTGCACCTCGCAGGTTGTGGGGTGTGCGTGCCTTTGCGTGCGTGTGCGTTGTGTGCGCGTGGTGTGTGTGTGTGTGTGTGTGTGTGTGTGTGTGTGTGCGCCCTCGCGCGCGCGCCCGAATGTGTGCTTCCTCTTAAAGATGTCAAAGCCCGATTAAGAATTTAGGGGATGGCTGGAGTGGGGTGCCTGGGCGCCCACTTCGGTCCGGGTGACCCACCAGGGAGGAGCGGAGTTGGAACTTTATTTCCTGGGCAAACATCATCCCCTGCCTGGGGCGAGCCTGGGGTGCTGGGAGAGGGGGTGGGGGGGGGAGGGGACGAGGAGCCAGAGGGGAGGGAGAAGGAAACCAATGGAAGGAGGGCTGAGCAAACCGTTGTATGGGGCGGGGGTGGGGGGGCGGTTTCGGAGAATAGAAAGGCACGGTTATTATTTTTTTTAAGGAAGAAAGATAAAATAAAAAAATGCCTGGTCTTTTCCGAGCTCAGGGGCGCGGGCTCTTCTTCACTACTCCTTCGCTCTTTCCTCCTCCTCCCCCGTTGCCCCCTATTCCCAGCGAAGAAAACCTTGGGGTCCCGGCTCGTGGCTGTGTGACGTGCCTGACCCGAGAGTCCCGACTATTTATAGCAGGAGGTGGGGAGGGGTGGCAGGCAGCGCCGTCCCTCGGGGCTTCGGGCAATCGCTAGCGAGGAGGGCGCGGCGTGGAGCGGGGCCGGGGGAGCGGGAGGCAGGCGCGGGGCCGGGCTGCCGCGGGGGGCCCGGCGCGCGCCCCCACGCCCCTCCTTCCCTCGCCCCCTCCCGCCCGGCGCCCAGGGCTGCAGTTCGCCGCGCCCGAGCGGTCCCCCGCAGGCCGCCAGGAGGAGGAGGAAGGGGCCCCGAGCCGAGGAGTGGCGGGGGCTGCGGCCACCGCGTTTCCCCGCGTCCCCGCGCCGGCCTCCGCGTCCTCGTCCCTCCGCGTCGGCGGCAGGGGGCGGAGAGGGCGCGGGCGGGGGGCGCCGCGCTCCTCGCGGGGATCGTCCCCCAGCCCCTGGCGGAGGACGTGCGGGGCGCGGGGGGCGCAGGTGCGGGGCAAGCCGGGGCTGAGCTGTGCCTCCCCGCACGCCGAAGCGTCCCCAACTTCGTCCCGTAGCTGCTCCCGACCATTGTTTGAAATTGGGCGCCCACTGCGCGCGGGGAGGGCGGCAGTCGCCGGCTCTCCCCACCCCCGGGGGTCGGAACTCGGCCCCCCAGGCCGGGGGCGATCGGAAACCCAGGGACTGGCCCAAGGTCACCCGGGAGACCGCGGGAGGCCCCAGGGCAGGACTCCCCGCAGCGGCCCCGGCCACGCGCCGGACGCGCCCCGCTCCCGCGTTCCACAGCGGGCCCGGCGAGGGGGCGCGGGGCGAGAAGGGGGACCCCGCGAGGCGCCGCGGGCGCGCTGGCAGCCGGACTCCTCCGGGTCGGGTCTGGGCTGCGGTCTTGACCCATTTACCTCCTGCCCCGCCTGCCCGAGGGTCATCCCGGGGTGGCTTGGGGAGGAGGAGGAGGAGGGGGCGACTCCGGGGTGTGGGGGCGGCGGGGGCTCTGGGCATCACCCCCAGTTCCAGGGCGGGGGAAGCGGGCAGCAGAGCGAGCCGGGAGCCTCCTCCGAGCGGAGCGGGGAGTTTCTGGGTTAGACAGGTGAGGCGGCGCGAGCGAGGGAGGCTCCCAACGGCTGCGGGATCGGGCAGAAAGACAAGAGGGGACCCGGCAGCGGCGAAGACAGAGAGGGTGTCACGGTCTCGTTTGGGATTTCACGGGACTAGGGGTACAGGAATCAAAGTACAGAACGATGGCGAGCAAAATCGCTGATGTTTCCCTCTTCGCTCCTAAACAAGCCACGTAACTATACTGAAGGGAAAACAAAGTTTAGATTAGTATTAGCTTTCCACCCAGAGATTTCGTTTCTTAAGAGCTCTTTACAGCCAAGTAACCGGCTAGCAAAACCCTAGAAAAGGGGTTTTTGAGGACAGGGGAGAAAATGGAGGGGTTTAGGACCCTTGCCTTGCACAGGGGTTTCGCTGGGATATTCCAGTCTCCTGAGCACAGCAGGGAGCGACTTCCCAGCACTGAGCCCAGAGGAAGCCCAGCCCAGTTCTCCCCACCCTTAGTCACCACACCCCTAAAACTCTTCCTCTGCCAAATACCTGAAAGCAGTTTTCTTGCTGACCAGATACTCAGGTGGGATCTTTTGCACTACCTGCTCACTTAGCTTCCAACAAAACAAAAGCACAAATACTCTCATCCACTTAGTAATAATGACAATAGGAAGTATTAGTAATACTAAGCAAGAGTGGTTAAACACATATTCATTGAAGCTCTACTGTATACAGAAAAACTAAGGGGGAGAAGGAAGAGGAATACAAATAAAAATAATTTAAAACTCAAGAACTAAAACAACAGCATAGTACAGGGAGGATTTCAAAGGAACTGGCGCCCAACCTTGGAGCCAAATCCCAGTTTGACTACTTAGTAACTTTGTGGTTTGGATAGGTCTTTTAACCTCTCTAAGCTTCACTCTCTCTAAAAATAAAAATGGTAACAGTAACTTCTCTACATATTTGTTAATCTGTAAACAAATGTGCAATGTTTGACATGTGATTAATAATTATTACCATTTTAATGATGACGCTCTAATGAATGGTCAGGAAGGCAATATTATTCCTCTCTCTAAATATCGAGCTGGCATACATTTGATGAAATTATCATAAATTTCTCTAGAAGATGGGAACAGATATTTCAAGGGAATTGAGGTAATATTAAGAAAGGCATAAAGATAAAAGCAGTAATCTACATGAGAAATGGCAAGAATATCCATTTTTATGTCATGACATGTCAGAAGTGAATCCTACCAATAACAGTAACTAATATAATTAAAGAGATATTCCTACTGTTTGCAAACTAAGAGACCAACTTGTGCCTGTAATGTATCTCCATTACACAGCGTATTCAACCTAAGTCACCTCTCTGGAAGACTTTGCTGATAATGCTGCCCAGAAAATGAAAATTGGAACAATAATGTGCAGAGGGAAGGCCCTGCTGGAGAGCGCTATGATCCCTGCAGTAAAATGAGAATGTAAAATGTAAGTACTCTTACAAGATAAACTTCATAATTATTTCTGAATAAAAAGCATCCAAATGCCAGGGGAAAACCTGCATGTTCATCTGTTGTTAGCCTCTGCGATAGTATCTTCCATACTTAAATCCAGTAAGTATATACTAGCACTTACTCTGTGTCAAACATTATTTGACAGGCACTCCGATGATGTGAAGCGCAGACGTAATCCTTATGCCCTCAGAGTTTACACTTCAATGTCAGCAAAGAACTTGTTTTAGAAGTAAAAGCACACGTAGCATGTACTGGGAAGTGGGGAAATTGGAAACCTTCAACTGTATATTTGAAGGAAATAACATAGCTTGAGGATTTAAGTAAAACTTTTTGTATGAAGTGGCTTCAACTGAGATTTGAAAGATCGGTTATCCTGATGAAAAGGTAAGGGAAGAAAGTTCCAGAAGGATAAAATGTGATATGAGAACATCTTGATGAGATGGCATAAATGAAGAACAAAGGAGGAACAGTGACGCTAGAAGACAAGCTAAAGATGATACATGCTGTTATTGGAAAGCTGGACAGAGGTTCGTGGGGGTCACTGATCAGCGGAAGAACAGGGATTACAGGGACTTTCGCACAAGAATGGCAGTAAAGGCTGTAGGGCACACAGTTACTGTAGGAATCTAGGGGAAGGGTGGCCCTGGTCTGATTTAGAATAGTAATAGTTAAACTCCATGACCTATTAGATATGAGAAACACGAAGAAGGGTTCAAGGATAGGTTTTACATTTCACGTTTGAGCAACTCATTAATGGTGGTAGAAGTGATACAATCATTTTGGGTCAGAGATACACTCTGTCCGGCATCCAAACTGTACTAGTTTCTTGGTATATACACCCAATGAACTCCCTGGTTACCCCCAATACTCCCAGGCACTTCTGGGAGTAAGACCCACTGCTTAAAAAAACAAACAAGTCAACAAAAACCATGTTCCACACCAAATAAAGGGTGTTGGGAGGATCCTCCCAGGAAGGGAGAAGCATGCTGAAACTAGACTATAGACCAAACATGATTGCCACCCAATGCCTCTTTTGCAAACCACAACACCCAAGAGGATAGAGGGAAAAAAAGGGAATGCCCTGCCACAGAGGTGGAGGGGGGGGGGGAGGGGGGATCAAGGGGATGGAGGGGGAGAGGGATACTGGGATCCGTGGTGGTGGGAAATGGGCACTGGTGGAGGGATGGGTATTTGTTCATTGTATAATTGAAACCCAAGCACAAAAAAATTTGTAAGTCTACAACTGTATCTTATGGTGTCTCACTAATAAAAATTAAAAAAAAAACATGTTCCATTCTAACACCTGCTTTCATCTTAAGTTTTTATTTAACTTTTCTGCTTTAACTTTTAAAGAACATATTACTATTCATGATATTATATTTTACCCATCATGTTTCCATTTTCCTGCATGAAAGGCACATTAAAAGAATTTTTTTCTGGTTTTCTCAGGACTATATTCCAGTATCTAGTGCCCATAGTAGATACCTACTTCATATGCTTTTGAATAAATGTGCTTGATAACTCTGAGGGTGTAAACAAATTAAGTGAGAATGAACAAAGTGAGAAGACTCAAGAATATACAAGGAAATCTGGTAAAGGTCAATTACCGGTTTCAGAAGGGTCTAATTAAGACTGGCCCAAGGGGTAGGAAGAAAGCTACTTTGCAGTGATGAAAGCCAGAGAAAGAGCACATTCTAATGAGGAAGAATCACTCAACTGTATTAAATCCTTCTAACAGTTCTTATGTTTTGAATAGGGAGACCATGCTCATGACAAAAAAGAAATAAAAATAAAAAACCTTCTTAAAAATCTAAGTAATTCTGTTTTGATTCTCTCCATAGAAACCAACAAAATTTAGATGAGGCAGGTGGGCTATGTGGTTGTTCTATCACATCCCTTCATCTGTTGAAAAGCAAGCATGGTGCCTGGTCCAACAGGTACCTGTCATCGTACCGAAGCTCCTGCTGTGGGAGAAGAAGGATCTGGGAGAAAGTTCTCATGCAGTATGGGTGACCTGCTTTATCAAATGATTTAAGCATTTATAGTTATAATTCTTTTAAAAACGAACAATGGACAGCATCGTTTTGAATACTGATTAGGGTCTTTTAAAGTAGTATAGAAACCTATAAAAAATATAGTACAGGATCACTGAAGAGTAGGGAGAAAACCAGAAATAACATATGGGAAGAAAATGCATCTTTTATTTTCATTGAATATAACAGAATAAACTAACCGTAACGCAGTAATAATGTGTCATTTGCTACTCCAAATTATTTTTTGGGGGGGGGCATTGTGGTTTACAAGCTATCAGTAGTATTTCATGTATGAACTAGTTCAGCATCATACCACATACTCAGGTGTTCCTTTCCCTCCACTGTCCCATGGTCCTTCACCCACTCGCCCCACCAAATATTTTATAAACAGCAACATATTTGGATTCTTTTAATATGCATATGTAATTATTATTATTATTATTATTATTATTATTATTATTATTATCCCCTTTACCTGTATGAGAAACAAGCAGAAATTAAATAGCTACAAGATCACAGTTTTCGGGGCAGGATAGTACAGTGGTAGGGCACTTGTTTTACAAGTGGCCAACTTGGGTTCAGTCCCCAGCATCCCATAGAATTCCCCTAGTATGGGAGGAATAATTCCTGAGTGCAGAGCCAAAAGTAACCCCTGAGCACTGCTGGGTGTGGCCCCAAAACAACAACAAAACAAATTTTAAAACATTACACAGTTCAGAAGAATATGTTTATATATTCAGAACCTTTTTGGTAGGCATGTGACTTAAAAAACAAATCCCTAAAGAACATATACTCTACATTTCTGTTACTTCACCTAATAAATTAAGGTAACAGAAATACAATCTCAGTCCAGACAAAAGATGGCTCCAAAAGACCCAGCAATTCCGCTTCTTGATAGCTACCTGAAGGGCCCTAAAACTCTATTCAGAAAAGACATCTGTGCCACAACATTACTGTAGCACAATTCACAAAAATCAAAATATGAAAATAATACAAATGTATTATTTGGGGAATGCCCTGCCACAGAGGCAGAGTGGGATGAGGGGAATGGGGGGAGGGAGGGATACTGGGATCTGTGGTGGTGGGAAATGGGCACTGGTGAAGGGATAGGTATTCGAAATAAAAAAATGATAATAAAAAAAATAAATAAAAAATAATACAAATGTCCAAGAACAAATGACTGGGTATAAACTATGGTATAATATACAAACTATGATTTTATAAGTATAAGCACACACACATATGAAATACTACTCTGCCAAAAGAAAAAGCAAATCATGCAATATAAAGTCACATAAATGGAACTGGAGAGTATCATGCCCAGTAAAGTCAGACAAACGGGGAGAGACATACAGAGTGATCTCTCTCTTATGTGTGTGATATAAAGAGACATAACAAGAATATAACAAATGCCCAAGGCAACAGATGGTGTTCTAAAGAACTAGTCTTTAGAATTGATCTTAGTTGGGGGAGGAAACTGGGGTGGGGGGGAATGAACACTCTGGAGAAGGGTATAATATTGATATGCTGTGCCCATAAAATCCTACCAGTTATAGCATTGTAGATCAGAGCATTTTAAATAATTTCTCTAAATGTTTCTCACAATTGTTTCATATGGATGACCACCGTTAGTCAAAAATAAGGAATGCAATATATAAAATTAAGTTTTCCAGAATGAAGGCCTTTCCTGAATGAGTTGATTCCACTGAGGCTTTTCTTGAAGCATCTCCACCCAAACTCTTCATTCACCAGCTGCCTGAGTTAGAGAGCTTAGAATTTAAAAGTCTTCTGGGGCCTTGCCCTAGGATAAATGTGGGAATGATGAAAAAAAAAAGACAAGCCTTAGCTCTAAACTGAAATAGCAATCTCCAATGCTAAGATTTATTAGTGTTTGATTAAATGTATATAAAGTGTTTTGCTATGTTTATTATGAAGTAGTTGAAATCTCATATACAAAGATACATTTTAATATGCTATGATGTATCAGTGGGCCTTCAAAAGTTAGACAACTGGAGTATAGGAAGATGGTCAAAAGCTCCAGCTCTCTCCACGCACAGTGACAGTTAGCTTCTCCTACTTCTGTGCTTCTACATTTCAGAGCTGATCATTGCTTTTTTGCTTGTTTTTTTTTAACCCCCATTTAGAAATATCTCCATTTGCTAATTCTACAAAGGGCTTTTCACCTTGTATTTAAATCATTCCCTGTGATCAGCATATTTACTCAGTAATTGATGAATTGTGCTGAAATTATTAGTAATTATTCACAGTTAAATATAGTTTATAAGCTTGTCCACTCGTGATAAATATCAGCAACTCTTTATATTATTTTTGGAGGTGTTTCATTGATGCTCTGGATTAAAAAAAGAGCAAATTCAAGCTATCTAAAGTATCAGAGGTCATGTTGCTGAAAGGTCCGGGGTGTAGGCTCAGCTTTGGGTACAGATGATATCAGAGGCTTAAACTACTGTGTTCTGTGCAAGCTGGCTTTAGTCTCAGTCAGGCTTTCTTCCAAAGACAACCATCAGCTGCTCGAGTTTAGCAACCTTGAGAAGATTAGTCATAACCAACTCAGCAAAACTGGATGATAAGACATTGAGTGGGACACCGTCTTCCGTGAATTGGGGTATACCATATCTCAACCATGTGGACTACAGCTGGGGAATGGCTGCCTTAAGAATGACCATTTGTATTTCCAGACAGAGAAGGAATGGATGTTGAATAGATAAAAGTTGCAGAAATCTACTTTTGGGAGACGAGGTGTTATTACTCACTATATTTTGGAGGGGGTCTGAAGGTGGGATGTTTGGGTTACACCTGCCTGTGCTTAGGGATTATTCCTGGATCTGTTTTTGTCACACCTGGCTGTGCCCAGGGATTATTCCTGGATCTGTGCTCGGCAGTGATGCCTGGCAGTGCTCAGGGGATGAGATGTGATACTGGA